GGGAAGCTTGCTTATCCCTCTCCCTCTCCCCCTGCTTGTGTTCCCTCTCTCGCTGTGTTTCTCTCTGTCAAATAAATAAATAAAATCTTTAAAAAAAAAAAAAAAAGAGGCACTTAACTGACTGAGCCACCTAGGTGCCCCATTTATAGCCCTTTTTAAATTGAGGTATACAATGGAGTATTATTCAGCCTGAAAAAAGAAGGAAATTCTGGCACCTGGTACAACATGGATGGACCTTGAGGACATTATGCTGAGTGAAATAAGCCGGTCACAAGGGACAAATATTGCATGAGTCCATTTACATGAGGTACCTACAGTGGTCAAATTTATAGAGGCAGAAAACACAATGGTTGTTTCCAGGGGCTGTAGGGAAAGGGATTGTGGAGTTATTATTTTAAGGGGTACAGAGCTTCTATTTTGCAAAATGAAGAGTTTTATGGATGGATGTGGTGATGGTTGTAGGACAATGTAGATGTACTTAATGCCACTGAACTGTAGATTTAAAAATGGTTAAGATGGTAAATTTTATGTGTGGTTTATCACAGTTTAAAAAAAATTACTAGGGCTGCTACTTGGAAGTGAGCAGTGGTGGAGCTAGTAAAGCCTACACGTGGTCATACCTAGCACATTGTGAAAGGTTGATAAGTAAGTGTTGCTTGAATAAATGAAAGAATGAGTTGGCTAAAAAATGCGTGGAAGGCTGGAGTGTCCTGGCTTCCTCAAACTACCATCCCCAAACCACTGATCAGGTTCTGGCTTCAAGGCCAGGGATGGTCTTGAAATTCAGATTGCCGTGGCTCAGAGACCCATATGTTCCTAAGCAGACCACAGCCCACTTGACCAAAGACTGGGGCAGAAATAGGAGAGTCCTGGAATTCTCAGGTTCGAAAGAACTATAAAGGTAGTGCAGTCTATCCCTTTATCCCAAGATGGAGTTGCGAGTCCCTTCCTCGACATCCCTGCCTAGTCTAATCTGTGGGCATCCTCAGCCCTAGCAGAAAAGCTGCCACTAAATCTCCGCAACGTTTGCTGCGGGAAAGAATGAGTGAATGAACTCCTAGTGACTCATCCAGTACTGTCACAGCCATCCTAGTGTTCCTATGACCTGCTCCCTGCCCCGGAAATGGGGGCCTGGGGAAACAGCGAACTGTTAGAGTTGGGGTCAGCAAGGTCACATTCTGTTGGACAGGAGCTGGACAGAGCAGCTCCTATGAAGGAGATAGGCATTCTCAATGTCAATCACCTAGGGAAGAGGTGGATCCTTGTTCAGACACCAGGATTCAGAAGGCTGGCCTGAGGTAAAGGCATCCTTTTATCAGAACACAGGCTCTAGGTCTAGACGTCTGGAGGACAGAAGTTGTCTAGATGTGGATTCGAGGTGGTGCATGCTAAGATAGCACCTGCTACACAGAGGCAGGCTGAGAGCTGGATGGGGTAGGGTCTGAAAGCCTGGGAAAGCAGGTACCCTGCTATGTCAGATTAACCTCATTCAAGTACTCATGTCTATTTTCCTTTAATAAAGTTCAATGTGATTGTTGATCCTTGTGTTCTTGTGCTAGCTACTAAGAGGTATAGGGAGGTATGTGGATTCATCTATAGAATGAGCATCAGGTGTTGGAGGTAACTGCTGAGAACTCAAAGGAAAAAGGAGAATATGAGGGGTCAAGAGCTGGTGCCTGAGGCACTCTCGACCCTAATGAGAAATTCTCCCACCAGCTCTCTTGGTGATACTGGAATTTATCATTATTAGGGAATTATCATAATAAGGATTATCATTTGTAATCAATGGAACACCCAATAATCCTTCCCAAGAGCATGGAAAGAAGTCCAGCTCAAATCCCATTTTTGGGAAGCCAATGTAATGATTCCATCTCCTACAGGAGAAGCTAACTAGTGGATCGATTCTGAGCTCAGTTCCATCTGGACTGAAGTGGGTTCTGTACATTGGTTATTAATGACCCACCCGGGAATTAAGGCTACACTTAAATTGGCAGCTGATAATAACCCTGAGATAAAACTGGCAACAGCCTAGGAAAATCAGAAAAGTGGCCCCTTAAAAACAGAATGAGAAGAAAAAGAAATTATAAGAGGGTAAAGGGCAGGATACTGGCAAGAATCATTTTGAAAAGCTGAGCATGCCAAAGAAGCAGACTTCAAGAAAAGTTGTTGTTGAAAATGAAGATAATAATCAGACAATCGAGTATCTGGAAATCTCTTCTGGGCAGTGAAGTGGTTAAAGGAAAAGCTGAAGTCTATACCAATAGATAAGAGATCATGAAATGTGGCTAAAACACAAGACAGTTTTCAAACAAGAATCTAATGGGCTGTCCATAAAGCGACCCAATTCACTTTGTTTTCCTTTTAATCCATTACAGAAGACATAAAAATAGTCCCATGACACTGGGAAACAAAGTCCTAGATCTACAACTGCACTAGATGAAAGTTACCAAAGGTGATGGCTGAGGATTCTGCTTAACCTGAACTGCCCAAAGCCTACCAGTCCATGGCACAAACGAGACCGCAGTAGCACTGTTGTAAAAATGTGCACAGCAAGTATCTTCCCACCTGCAAAACTGCCTTGAACTCTCCAAAGTTCAAGTCTCCTCATACAAAGTCAGCGTCAATCCTTTCCTGTGCCTCGAAGTTGGTCTCCATTGGTATCTGCTGCCGAAAAGCCAGGACTGGTATCTGGCTGCCCCAAGAGAACCTACTTCCCTGACATTCTCCTAAGGTTTCTCTCCAAACTGCTAAACCTCATGTTGCAAGAACTTCTGAAGGCCTTTCAGACCTCTTGCATCAGACAGAGCCACACACATTTCAGCACAGAACTGGAGAAACATTCGTTGAACTTGGAAATACTCCTTCTTGGGGTGGGGTCTTCTAATGCGCTGACACTGAGGAGTACTTCTGTGTTGTTCACATAATTATAGAGAGCATGCATTACTTTTATAAGCAGCAAAACAACAAAGACACATTTCCATTTTGAAAAAAAGAAATAGGAGTATTGACTTGGGTTTCTTAAGACTGGCTGTTACTTTACCCATATTGTGAGCTTGAAGAATCCCTCCCTGGTCTCCACCTTATAGCATTTCCTATCTCAGTGAAAGTATACCAGCCAAGGAGTGGCTCGAGTTAGACATGTCAGCTTTGATATGTACTTTCCTTCAAATTCTTTCCTTCAATCTTCAGAACCAATCTATATTCAAGTCCTATCCAAGTCCTAGCAAATGTACCTCCAAAATACTTCTCAAATAGCTTGCCTCTCTCCCTTCGCACCATCTGTCCCCTAACCCAAGCTACCTTCATCTTGCCCAGACTACTACAACTGCCTCTTAGTCTTCAGGGGTCCACTCTAAGCGGTGGACCCCTCTCCAATCTGTTTCAATCCAGCAGCCAGAATGATCTTTTTAAAGTGCAAATCTGAAGATGTCATTTTCGATCTTAGCCTCCCAGGGTTTTTAGCATAAAAACCACAATCTTTCCTTTGGCTTTCAAGGTTTTTTTCTAGTCTAGCCTCTATTTCTCCAGACACTTCCAGTACATTCTCAGCCCTACAACCACACTAGCCTTAGTTCCTCCAAATGGCCACCCTTTCTCTCACTACAGGACTCTTATCTACACATGTAGTTTGCTCTATCTGCCGCCCACATCACTTCCCACTTCGTCTAGTTAACTCCTACGCATCAGCTCAACAGTCACTTCTTTGGGGAAGCCATCTCTAGGTCCCCAGTTGAGGTCAAATGCCATTACTGCATTTGTTCATAGCACTGTGAACCTTTCCTTCATAGTATTTATAAAAGTTATATTTTATATTTATTTGTGTATTTATTACTTTAATATCCATCTCTGTCACTAGGGTGTAAACTCCATCTGGGCAAGGACCATGTACACCTTTGTAATTCCAGCACAAGCCCAGTGCCCAGGCACATAGGAGGCATTAAATATTATCTACTGAATGAATGTTAACTTCCTGAATGATAAAGTGGTTCTTTCCTACAATGGCCCTAAAGTTAAAAATTCCAGGGTACATCTGAGATCTGGTTTTCCAAATTTTAAGGAAGAAATCTCCATACATACCACTGATATCTTGAAGGATTTTTTTATGGCTTAGCTCTTCCATCAAGCCAGTGATGCTATACTGACCTCTCTGGAAGTGGCATGAGGCAGTAGTGAAAGCCCAGGTGAACTTACCCCTATGGTAGATGCCATGTAGTCTGCACACATTTCTGCAAAGTCTCGCTCAAGAACTCCATAATAGAGGCCATAAAAGAGGAGAGAAATGCCAAAGTCCATGGCGTCTTCTGGTTTGATCCTGTAAGGAAAGCAGCATGGCCTGTAAGGCCTGCCCTAAGACACAACTGCTTTGGATCACTACTCTGGGACACATAAGGAGGCACCTAAAGTTGGAAGCTTTAACGGCTAAATCAAGTGTTGGCAAAATAAGACCAGATCTTAAGCCTGTTTTTTATATGGCCTGTTGGCACCATCTGAACAGGCTAGCACTGTGAGCTACAAAGATCAAGCCAGGGTGTTGCCTACCACCCCTCTTCCCCACTCTGTCCCCAATGCGTGCCTCCACCAACTGGCAACCATGCCTTGCAGCTGTCTAGGGCCCACTCTGGTTGGCACCTACGTGTTGGAGACTCCACTGTTGGCAATCACTGGACACCAACCAGTGGAATTTCAGTCTGGAAGTTGGCAACTCACCAAGTTGCCTCACCTCCAGCCAGCTGCCCAAGTTGAAATGGCAGGGCAAGGGCACACCAAGATCTGGGTTGTCACTGGAACAGAAAGTGAAAATGATCCCAGTGGTCACACACCCCCTTGTCAGGCACCTCCTTCTGAGGATGTCTCATCTGATGGCAAGTGGGCACAAAGTATGCCTCCCACCTGAGAGAGCCCATCCATCAAACAAGGTGAGGCAAAGAAAGAGTTTCCCCTCTTGTTATAGACTTTGCCTTTTGTCCACAAAGCCTAAAATATTATTTGGCTCTTTACAGAAAAAGTTTGCCAGCCACAGCTTTAGAAATAAAAGATAAAATTAGTCACTTAGCAAATATATACATACCAGTTACCATAAAATTTTAAGCTGTATCTATACATATTCTGTATCATGTCATCAAAGTTAAATTTCGGTCCAGGGGCACCTGGGTGGCTCACCCGGTTAAGCGGCCAGGTCATGATCTCGGTGTCCTGGTATCGAGCCCTGCATCGGGCTCTGTGCTCAGCAGGGGGTCTGCTTAATGATTCTTCCTCTCTCTCCCTCTCCCTCTGCCCCATCCCCAAGCCCCCCACTCGTGCTCTCTCAAATAAATAGATTTTAAAAAATGGGGGATGCCTGGGTGGCTCAGTTGGTTAAGCGTCTGCCTTTGGCTCAGGTCATGATGTCACAGTCCTGGGACTAAGCCCCACATTGGGCTCCCTGCTCAGCATGGAGTCTGCTTCTCCCTCTCCCTCTGTCCCCCAACTCATGCTCGCTCTCTCTCAAATAAATAAAATCTTTAAAAAAAAATTGGGGGTCCAAGTCTACTTACTAAGAAGGACAAAGATCTTGCCTATACATTAGGAGGCTTGTTTTAATAATTCCAAGGACCAATAATTTGCAAACTTCAGTCTTCGAATGTTTATTAAACAACCTTGGTCAAAAATTTGTACCAGGAACTGTACCTGTTTACTTAAAGTTGTAAATTATATTTATCTTAAAAAGTTGAGTGTATTCATCAATCTTATAATATTTAACCCACTAGACATCATAATCTTATACCAATTAACCTGATTAGTAGCATAAAAATGGTCAAAATTCTCAATTCTGTCTTCCTCCTTGTATAGCTTATGCAAGTAAAAACAAACTGTAATTAGAGAATAACCATCTTTAATACAATGCAGAATCTTTTTCTTTTCCTTTTTCTTTTTTTAAAATAGGCTCCATGCCCAGCATGGAGCCCAATGTGGGGCCTGAACTCACAACTCTGAGATCAAGACCTGAGCCACTCAGGCACCCTGCAATGCAGAATCTGGATTTTTATTTTTTTTAACCACACAGAATAGGAAGCTATCTGGAAATAGCTTGGCTTTCTTTGATGGGACTTGCTAGACTCTATACTGATGAATTCCTATAAACCTTTGTGGAGACTGTTTATGCTTTTTCCTGGAAAAAAGAATTCCATGGGTATGCTCTCACTATATAAAGTAAGGACTTACTCCTTTCAGTTTCAAAGAGACTCCTGCCTCCAGTGCACTAGATTTGGGAAAGAGGCCAGTGGTCCTGACTTTAAACCTGAATCCTAAATCTCTAGCTTCAAGTGCCCGGACCTAGGCTCAGGATTCCTCATGATCCACAGTCCACAGTCCCCATCACCTCAGCCAGGAGACCACATTTCCATTCTCATCTGTCCTGCTGACTCACTATACCCTACAGTCTCAAGAGTCCAGGATTTCTTGGCTTTCTTGGCTTCTGCCTCAACTGGGAGCAGGGGAACCTGTACGCTGATACGAATCTTTTTTTTTTTTTTTTTAATTATTTATTTGAGAGAGAGCATGAGAGAGCGAGCACAAGCAGGGGGGAGGGGTAGAGGGAGAGAGAGAAGCAGACTCCCCGCTGAGCAGGGAGCCCGATACGGGACTTGATCCCAGGACCCCGGGATCATGACCCGAGCTGAAGGCAGACACTTAACTGACTGAGCCACCCAGGTGCCCAATAGGAATCTTTTTGAAATTTTATGACAATATGAAGCAACAGTCAGAATCCCACTCCTGGTAACGTATCCTTAGAAGCAACAAAGCTAATATTATCTGTGATAGCACAATATCGAAAAACACCCTAAGTGCCCAACAATGGAGCAGGAGTTAAATGTCCACGGGTTAAATTTCTAAAAAACGGTTTCGGAATGCCAGCTACGTTACAAAGCAACAATGTGTTAAACATGACGCATGTGCATCTGAACTGGGAGATTCTTAAAACTGGATGTGTTCCCAGGAGGGGGAAAGCTTCCAGGTCACCCATCTGTGTGGTCTCACCCCCTCACATCTCAGCCCTGGAACTGCTCTGAGGGCTCCTACGGACACCACTCTGTTTCCTGCCCTGTACACTTCCAGGTGCACTTGTTGCCAGGTGTGGCCAACTGCGTCACATGAGTCTGACTGTCTAGTTCAGGGGCTGACAAACTTTTTGTGGAAAGGGCCAGATAGTATTTTGAGTTTTGTGGCCCAAATAGTCTCTGCCACAAATATTCAACTCTGCTACTGTTATACTGCAAAAACAGCATAAACAATGCATAAACAAATGAGTGTGACGATGTTCCAGTAAAAGCTTTTTTTATCTTGTAAAAACAGGACAAAGGCCAATTTGGTCCACGGGACAGTTTGCCAACCCCTAGTCTCCCTAAACATAAGACCACTCAGGTAGAGTCATTGCAATAAACAGTGAATGCATGGACAAGGAAAATGACTCTGATAGGGTGATGGATAACTGGCCATAATCATTATTATGCTTACTGTTGTGATACTTTTCCATTAAAATATAGGTTCTTGGAAAACATAACCAATGATGGGACTCTAACTCTATATCCAGACATCCCTTCCTCTTTGCCAGCACAAATCATGGAGGGCCCACCTTCCCATTCCCCAAAGCCCAAGTCTCCTATCCTGGGTGCCAGGGCCCCCTTGTTAATATTCAGGACTTGGCTTGTGGAGGAAAGGTACATCTTACCAGCCCCTCCTCCCCAAACAAAAACAAAAACAAAAGCAAAGAGTACTTACTTGAATAATAAATTGAGACCAAAGAGGGTAAACATGACAGCCATGTAGCCAACAATGCCAGTGGCATAGCTGATTTTATAGATCAACAGGAACCACTTATAAACCAACCTGGAGAAAGGAGAGAAAATTAGCAAGCATAGCTGACATGGAAACTTGCCTAGGGGCCTCTGGATTACCAGAATCTCTTATTCTTACATCAAAGGGGACATTACGTTATTTGTCTAAGATTTACGAAGCAACTTCAGTTACTGTTACAGACCTGGTCACTCTCTTAATTGCAGAAATACCCCTGCATACCAGGGAGCTAGTGCTATTTTCCTGGTCCCAGACCAAGGGAAGAAAAGGGAGCCTTCTAAAAGGTTTCAGCTTCAAACAAACAAAAAGCAGAGCTGACATCAGACAGCTATGCCCTCTCAAATTCAGATTAGCTGGATAAGGAAGTGAAAACTAGTAACTACAGCTATGTTCAGATGGGAAGAGGTGGGGAAGGCCAGCTGTTCTTGTGGAAAGAGAATTCAAGGGAAGATGAAAAAGAGAATCAGCTATGGGCTTTTCCTTTTTTTTTTTTTTTAAATATTTATTTATTTAAGTCATCATTATACCCAACATGGGGCTCAAACTCACGAGTTCAAGCTCCTGAGATCAAGAGGTGCATGCTCTTCCGACTGAGCCAGCAAGGCACCCCCAAGCTTTTCCTACTGGGAATGGTTAACCTGAATACTGCTTTGCTCCTATCTACAGGCCTATAATGAAATGGTGTCTAATGAATTTGCTTCTGAAATGACTTTCTTTCTGGAGAAGAAGGGATAAGAAAAGAGGTACTCAAAGAATACCTTTGAATGGATGTATGTGTGTGATGGTGGTGGTGGTGGGGTGGGGTTCACAGAATGCTCTTGAAGGAGGAGCAATGCTCTCTCAAATTCAATGAAAAGCAGTGTGAAACCAGGATGGTGAGAGCAAACTGAGGAATTCACTTGAATAAACAGCTCAAGCCTGTCTGGCTCCTGAGACCAAGTTACCACCAACCTTGATGGGCCGCAGGGAGGAAGCTCAAGGTCCCTCCCTGTGCCTCCGTGCTGTGGCTAAGCAAGTGGTAATGGGTTCTCAGGCAAGGGAAAGGCCCCAAACATTTTGTAGTGCCTGCCCTCAGAAACCACACAAAGCTCCATTATCCAGGGTTTGCACTCATCAGATAGGAGTGAGACAGTGGAAAGGATGTGGAATTTTAGGCAAAATCTGGATTAAATGAGTTTTATTAGCTGGGTAATCCCAGGTAAATCAAATCACCACTCTAAGACAAGTTTACTTATTTGTAAAATGAGGAAACCATGATACCTTCCTCAATGGATTGTACAGAGCCCATTTCCTGGTGTATATAATACATGCTCAATAAATGCTACATGAATAAGCATGGATGTTTATGAAAGTGCTTTGAAATTATAAAGCACTATCAAATGTTAGTTATTATCATCAAAAACCTCCCATGTCATAGACACATTTTCAGTCACTTTACCTACAAGTTGATACTGGTTGTTACTTACTGACACTTAAAGTATATTTTTACACCGTTTCTTCACAGCACCCTTTATGAGGGAGCAATCACTGTCACATTTCTAGGGATAAAAAATTCAAGGCTCAGAAAGGTAAAGCCATACAGGTCATGTAATTAAGTGGCAGGGCTGGAGTTTCCAATCCACATCCATCTGGCTCCAGAGTCTCTATCTTCTATCATGGCCCTTAATGTAAACTACCACAGCCTGGGAGGAACTTCCAAGTCATCGACTTCACCTTGAAGATAAATTTTACCATGTACAAGGAAACTCAGAAGGCCAAAGTAAAACCTTACAGTGAAGCGGAACATAAAATGCATGGGAAAAAGAGCAACTTGCAACTTGGAAGCCTTTGGTTCTGATAGTTACAACTTTGAGGCTGGCTAGTTCCTCTGCTAGGCTCTCCTGGACCTGTACACACGTCTCTCACAGCACTTACCAACTGCACTGAAACAGCTGCTTTCTGGTCCATCTCCTCCATTAAACCGAGCATTCCTTGAGGGCAGGGACCATGTCTTATCCAGCTCTGTATCCCCAGCGCTCAGCACAGGGCCTGACACATAGCAGGTGCTTGTTGAATGAATGAATGAATGAGAAAATCTCTGTCAAGTACAGATATGAAATGACCTCACAAGCTGGTTGGGAGGATCAAACTAGAAATGCATTTGGATAAAATACAAAGAATAATACAGGCAGGGGCTGTTTTGTGACCAAAGAAGTATTGTTTGTTGAAAAATTGCAAATTTGCTGAGATTCATTCATTCAACAAAAATTCACAGAGTAGGCTACTATGTGCCAGGCCCTGTGGTAGGGCCTGGATATACAGGGACAAACAAAATACATGTGGTTCCTGATCTCACAGTTATAGTTTAGTGGGGGAGATAGACACTCAAGATTTTGTGTTATGTTCTATGATGGAAAACTATAGGGCCTATGAAAGAATATAACAGAAAACCTAATTTAGAGATCAGAGAAGGGTTCACAAAATAACATTTAAAATGAGACCACAATGATCCCCAGAATTTGCTTACTTATTTGGTTGATTTAAATATACATAGACCTTGATATAAACTCTAAGGTAAGCTATAGGGAAATATTTTGGGGTTTTTAATCTGTGAATGGGGGGGCGGGTAGTTCTCCCAATCAGCTTGTTTTGGTGGGGGTCCATGCCAAATAATTTTGGCAAACAAAAATTACAACTTTTTCAGCCTAAACCTACCCCAATCCCATGCATTTCAACCCGTTCCCTTCAGGAAACCTAGCTCTTCCCCACTACCTAAACTCTCACCTTGGGGTTGTCTGTACTAGTGGTTTTCGGGTGGCTCGGAAGGTGACAAAAGCTGTGACAGCAGAGAACAAGATCCAGATCACTAGGAACCTCCACCAATGCAGCTTCACTGTGAAATAGAGGGGAACAACCCACATCTGAAAGAGGGTCACCATCTGAAACACAAACACAAGCACTTCAGCTCTAGCCAGCTCCCTCTGTGCTCTATCTGCAAGTCCAGAGTGTATGTTGTGTGTTCCATTTTAGCCTGATCTTCTCCTATATTTCCAATGTTGGATAGAGGCACCTCCTAGCGGTCTAACTTAGAAACTTAGGACCATGCCTGACATCTCTCTTTCATTCCTCACCTACCTGTTGCATACATTCTTTCCTTTCCATGTGAGCCCTGGCTATCCCTTGCCTGGCTCACTACAATGACCTCTTTGTTAAATCTCCCTGCATTCAGCAATCCCCTCTCCAATCTATCCTTCCCAGGAGCACTGGAATGGTATCTCTAACATACAGTCTTGAACATGTCATTCCCCTGCTTACAACCTTCTAATGGTCCCCTGCATACAGGATAACACCCAAATCCTTAGGCAGTCAAATCCTCCACAATGTGGCCTGAAACTACTATTTCAAGAGTGACCTTCTACTACTTCCCATGCCGTTAGATTGTCCCCCTCAGGCTAAAACATCCTTTCCACCTGCCTTTCTGCCTGATAATATCACATCCAAGATACATGAAGCCTTCGATCTCCTTTCCAGGCAGAATGTCATAACTTTCTAGTGCTCCAAAAGCACTTTCTTTTCTACCATCATTACAGTGCTTATCTAGAGTGTGCTTCAAATTCATTATCTGAATATAAGCTCCTTGAGAGCAGTGACTAGGCCATATTCATCAGTTTCCCATGTGCTAGGAAACGGTCTAGCACACGACAGATCCTCAATAAACTTAGATACATGAGAAGAAAGCAAAACTAGAACCCAAAACAGAGGCATGTTTCTGCTGTAAGGGGTATCTCAGAACTTGGACTTGTCAGCTGAAGAGTTCCAAATGTATACAGTGATTCTAAGTCAGAAGTTTGGACTGATCACCAGTCTTCCACTCCCTGGTGCCTCTTAACTCCCTCCACCAACCACCCTGCTTTCACTAGATGTCACTCTGCTCAGGTGAGTAGCAGGTGTTTAAAAAAAAAAAGCTAATTAGTACTTAATGGAGCCTTTCTTCCTGATGTCATCAAATAAAATGAAAGAACGTGCAGGGACGAGTTATAGAGAGGAAAATGATAGTTTCCTAAAGTTCCATAGTGGAAAAAACTTTTGAGAAAGTATTTACTTGGGAATTCTAGACCAGTGCTACCTAATCAAAACATAATGGTAGTCACATATGTAATTTTAAGTTATCTAGTAGTGACATTTAAAAAAGGAAAAAGAAACACTGGTGTTATTTTTAAAGATTTTATTTATTTGAGAGGGAGAGCAAGCGAACAGGGGGAGGGGGAGAGGGAGAGGGAGAGGAAGAAGCAGACTCTGTGCTGAGCATGGACCCTGACGTGGGGCTCGAGCTCACGACCCCGAGATCATGACCTGAGCCGAAATCAAGAGTCAGATGCTCAACCGACTGAGCCACCCAGGTGCCCCCAGATGATATTAATTTAAATAATATATTTTATTTTATCCAATACATCCAAAATATTATC